TTCTTTTCAATTCCCAGAATTAGGATATTTAAAGGGCCCATGTCATGTTCCTTCTTCCATACCTAATAAGGTCTATCCTGTAAATGAAAAAGTGATCTGGAGGATGCGGGCATCGATCCCGCTACTTCTCGCATGCTAAGCGAGCGCTCTACCATTTGAGCTAATCCCCCAAAATGCCTTAAGATCAGTGACGCAACATCAAAAACACACTTATGGAGCCAACATGCAGTAGTTTACATTGAGATTTTGGATTTATAATATAACACATGTACTCTAAAAAGTACAAGTTAAATGGTATATTGCTTGTATGTTTCTCAAACTGTATTACATTGTTACCCCAGCACTAAACTGTTAGAAAAAGGACTAGTAACTCACCGTCTGCAGATAAATCCCTCAAAGATCAATCATCATTCCTATATTTATTTCCACATGTATTTATTCTTTGATATATTTCTGTATTTATTCATACATGTATTTATCCAGCTTATGTTATGTTCAGTGGCGGCGCCAGGGTATTTTTGTTGGGTAATCTATGGTAGGGCTAACCCATACAGTGGTGGTGCTCAAATCAGTATTTGCAATTGAATTACATACACGCTATATCGCCCCCCGTGAAACAGTGAAATGCCACACGTGAGGTTTAGATTATTTCCCTTTCTCAATCAAAATGGAACTGTATGAAATAAAACGGCACATCTGTAAATAAAAAGGGATCACTGTGAACGGGATACTGAATGGCGGTTTTGATTGATCTCAATCAGTAAGGCATGACGCAGACAACGTTGAATTGCTCTGATTGGCTGTAGGTCTATTCAAATTGCATTCGGAGGCATTTTGATCTGACCGCGGCCGCACTTAACGCCAGAGAATTTCCACACCTTTAGTGTTTAAAACTCCCCCACTACTTAGACTATTCCTTGCACCCCTCTTCTATAAACCCGAATGGTCTCAACCATATTGCATCAGTAACGTGCACTTGTTGTTACAGCAGGATCAGTTTGTGTGTTGTGGACACGACCCGTATATTTTCGCAATCCGTGTTCTCAACATTTTGCATTTTGCTTATTATTTAATTGAATTTGCTTACTTTAACATCACTTTTCATGGTGGGGCTAAGGTGGGGCTAAGCCATTTCTTGGTATGGCTGTAGCCTACCCCAGCCATACCCTGGCGCCGCCAGTGGTCATGTTCCTTCTTCCATATCTAATAAGGTCTATCCTGTAAATTAAACTGGAAGTATGCTCCATATGTGTGTTTTTGATGTTACGTCACTGATCTAAAGGCATCTTGGGGGATTAGCTCAAATGGTAGAGCGCTCGCTTAGCATGCGAGAAGTAGCGGGATCGATGCCCGCATCCTCCAGATCACTTTATAGTGTAAATAAATAAATAAATGCTCGAACAAAAACAGAAAAAATAAATAAATAATGGAAATATATTAATAAACACAGGAGGAAACAGAATAATACAAATATGCTTTGATTAACTTCATTTAAAATTGTTTTAAATAAATAAAAGTTATACAAACATATACATATATATATACAATTATAATACAAATAAAACACACATGAATACATTTCATTCATTCTTCTATATATTCCTGTATTTATTCATACATTTATTTAAACAGCTTATGTCATGTTCCTTCTTCCATACCTAATAAGGTCTATCCTGTAAATGAAAAAGTGATCTGGAGGATGCGGGCATCGATCCCGCTACTTCTCGCATGCTAAGCGAGCGCTCTACCATTTGAGCTAATCCCCCAAGATACCTTAAGATCAGTGACGTAACATCAAAAACACACTTATGGAGCCAACATGCAGTAGTTTACATTGAGATTTTGGATTTATAATATAACACATGTACTCTAAAAAGTACAAGTTAAATGGTATATTGCTATATGTTTCTCAAACTGTATCACATTGTTACCCCAGCACTAAACTGTTAGAAAAAGGACTAGTAACTCACCGTCTGCAGATAAATCCCTCAAAGATCAATCATCATTCCTATATTTATTTCCACATGTATTTATTCTTTGATATATTTCTGTATTTATTCATACATTTATTTATCCAGCTTATGTCATGTTCCTTCTTCCATATCTAATAAGGTCTATCCTGTAAATTAAACTGGAAGTATGCTCCATATGTGTGGTTTTGGTGTTACGTCACTGATCTAAAGGCATCTTGGGGGATTAGCTCAAATGGTAGAGCGCTCGCTTAGCATGCGAGAAGTAGCGGGATCGATGCCCGCATCCTCCAGAACACTTTATGGTATAAATAAATAAATAAATGCTCGAACAAAAACAGAAAAAATAAATAAATAATGGAAATATATAAATAAACTAGGAGGAAACAGAATAATACAAATATGCTTTGATTAACTTCATAAATAAAAGTTTATAATACAAATAAAACACAAATGAATACATTTCATACATTTATTTATATATTCTTGTATTTATTTGTTCCTATATTTATTTCCACATGTATTTATTATTTTATATATTCCTGTATTTAGTCATGTATTTCTGTATTTATTCATAAATCAATTAAAAAGCAAAGCTAATAAAACATGAATAACACAGGTTCATGAATAAAAGTTACAGTGCAGTGTGAGATGTGAATAGTTCAATTAAAAGCAGCTTCAAAAAGAAAGTCTTCAGCCTGGATTTAAAAGTAGTCAGAGTTGCAGCGGACCTGCAGGTTTCTGGGAGTTTGTTCCAGATATTTGACAATATCCCGAACCAAATTCTCACATTCCTCTACCCCTAGTCTTCCCGTGAAATTATAGTTATTTTGACAGTTTTCTAATCTTTTTCTATTCCTTTCATCCTTCTCTTTCATCCATGTTGCATCCCCAGACAACACATGTTCCTGTTTTACTGTTACCTGAACCTATCTTTGACCTTTGAACCACTTTTCTTTTCAATTCCCAGATTTAGGATATTTAAACACCTTATGTCACCCTGTAAATGAAAAAGTGATCTGGAGGATGCGGGCATCGATCCCGCTACTTCTCGCATGCTAAGCGAGCGCTCTACCATTTGAGCTAATCCCCCGTGATGCCTTTGGAGCAGTGACGTAACATTAAAAACACACATATGGAGCATACTTCCAGTTTAATCATACATTTATTTATCCAGCTTATGTCATGTTCCTTCTTTCATATCTAATAAGGTCTATCCTGTACAAGAATATATAAAGAAATGTAAGAAACGTATTCAGTTGTGTTTTATTTGTATTATAAACTTTGATTTCTTTAAAACATTTTTTTATTTATGCAGTTAATCAAAGCATATTGGTATTATTTTGATTGCTCCTATATTATTTGCATAAGTACATGTTTTCATCCAACTGCACCCTATATTCTGCCCATATACAGTCTATGATTCTGCCTCATATCGTTTTTATAGAACACATTTATTTCTAGTTTTGTAATTATCAACTGCACTGATAAATACATGTGCAATAACTTACTTACTGACTTGTTTATATTTGTACACTGCCTTATTGTTCTTGTATTTGTATGGTAATGTTGTATTGTTTTGTAAGCGTACTGTTCAATGTATCATATAGGTCCAATTTATAGTCACTTTATATATTAAAAATGTTAGCTTGTATTGTCAAAATTATGCTTATACTGTCTGTTATGTGTGATTGCACCATCGGGAATGCTTGGAATTTCGCTGTACTCTGTGTAGTGACAATAAAGGAATCTATCTATTTATATATTTCGGGTTTTGTTAATTTGTTTCTGTATTTGTTCAATCATTTAGCCATTTATTCTATTGACTGAAGAAAAAGTGTTCTGGAGGATGCGGGCATCGATCCCGCTACTTCTCGCATGCTAAGCGAGCGCTCTACCATTTGAGCTAATCCCCCGCGATGCACTTATGAAACTGACGTCAGAATTTATAGATGAAACCTAGAGTTTAAAGTCTGGTGGGTTAGTGTTTAAAGAAGGGGTAACCCTCTTTGCGTTTGGATTTGAGCAGATCCTCCACAATGACTTTTTCAGTCATTACCACTGTTAGCAATACATCAGCATTTCAGACTCTCCTTTCCTATCCTATCTTAGATGGGTTGATAGCGCCCCCTACAGGAGAGAGGAAATCATAGCTGCAGTAATTATATATCCTGAAGGTAAACAGTATTTTATTTAACTGCTGTTTGTGTTAGCAATGTATCATTTAAACCTGTAAGATGTTAGATTGTGTTGACTATATGAATGTATTTGTTGAATACTTGGAAGAGCAAATAAGTGCAAAAACAGAATATGCCTGCAGACAGCAAAGATACGTCTGTAGGTCTAAACCAGTCAAACTCAATTTCATCGCGGGCCACATTAGCAATTATGGTTGCACTCAAAGGGCCGGTTGTAACTATATAAATATACATATATAAATATATAATATATATATAAAATAATGTATTATATTACATTATTGCCTCTGAATTGGATTATTATCGGATAGGATAATAACTTACTAATTAACTACGTACGAAAGCAGAAGTCCAGGGCAAATAATTGCAAGTCTCTTCAGTGCGCATGTCACATAACGAGATGCATTGTGGGACATGTAGTTTATGGGCAACCTGCTTCTGTAAAGTGGCATGAAACCGTATAATAAATGTATTATATCCTTTGCAAGCTCTTGCGGGCCACATCAAATGAAGTCGCGGGACGGATTTGGCCCCCGGGCCTTGAGTTTGACACCCCTGGTCTAAACAATGAGAGCTTTAACATCTCAGTGCTGCTGGTCTTATTTAACAAGAATAATCTTTACTGAAAGTCTGCTTACTTGCTTTTAACTGAAGTCATTGACTTATACAGATGTGTTTAAAGTGGTTCAATAGAAATGCACTTTTTTTATTTACTGTGACTGCGATCCAAAGGTTGAGAAAGTACTTTTTTTAATAATATATATATGAATAGTTAAGTGATTTGACAAATTAGATTGTTTCACCTTTTTTAGTGACACATTTCTACAGTGGGTAATGATTGTAAACTGTAGTTTATTTGGATTTTTGACATTTAGTTTGACAGAATAATCATTTTGAAGAGCAAGGACATGGGAAATGTGACAGGCTTTATATAGGAAAGAATAACCATTAGATGTAGACATACATTTGTGCATACATTCTTTAAAATAAACTAAAAACTTTCAGGACACCATGCTTCTGCAGTTAGTGGATGTCAAGCTTAATCTATAACTGTGAGTACATTGAATTGTATTGAACACATTAGTACATGAAGATGAATGAACACATAAAGAACAGAAGGGTTTGCAGGGTTATTAAAACATAGGACCAATAGTTTAATCGTACATCAACATCGGTTTTGCAATTTGAGTGTTTTCCAACCGAAATGATCCGCAGCATTTTTGTCGTCCTGTGTTTCCTCTCCAGTGTCATCTCTCATGAAGACACGCGATTGGTTTTGAAAGCAGTGTCTGAACCAATCAGCATGTGGAATAAATCCCCGGCACTGTCCTGTCATTGGCTGCGCTCTGCTCCACAAGCAAAAAGGTATCCGTTTGTCTTTGTTGTTATATTTCAATGTCAGTGCAGAGTAACAGCAAGCGGAAGCAGCAGGAGAGGACTGAAGAAGAGTCTGCTTGCTGCCGGCGTTTAATCCTCTCACATGAAGTCGTCTGAATCATTGCCATCCTGCAAAACAAAAGGCAGCAAAACACAACTTAATGCGGTGAAAATGACACAAGCTGGTATCAGATCTTTTTGTATATGGTCCCATAACTCTTTAAAACAAAGCTTGTCCATGAATGAAATACACATTTATTTATTTACATGTATTCTAAATATGAACAGCTTTATGTCTGTTGTTCACTTGACACCATGGGCGTAGGAAGCATCCTCAATGTGGGTGGGACAGTTTGACCGCGGTGGACCTCACCTCCTCTAGATGATTACCAAACCGTTTGAGACCCACTACTGAGACTAAAGTGAACTATCTAAACCCTCAGAGAGTCCTTTCCCTCACTGAGCTGTAGTTAGCGCCGGAGCCTCGCAGCGGGGAAACTGTGGCGCGCATAATTTTACAACTAAAGACACAGCTACACAGAAAACGCAGCATGTGTACGGCTCATGTGTACGGCTCTGAGAATCTGCCTTGGTACAAAGTAGCAGTGAAAACATGGGACGGAGTTTCATTGATTTGGGCGTTCTCACAATAAGCAAGTGGAATGGATTTGATAATGAAGCACTGACACAGCGCTCTACAAAGAGTGGCGAGTGGATAGACCGATTCACGGACTTTCCGCATAGTACACGTGGGGGGGGTCTAAACTAGTCATTTTAAAAGGCTGCGACGCCCACGCTTGACACGGATATCATATATATATATATATATCTGGAAGAAATGAAACACATTTTGACCCATTCATGAATATTCTAGATATTGAACAAATGCAGCAGATTCCTTATATGTTCTCTTTCTGGGAGATTCATCTCTAAATATAATATACTCACCTCATTAGTCTGCATGTTTTCATCCACCAACAATGAAGTATAGTGCCTGGAGAGAGAAACCAACACTTAACAAATGAAAAAATATAAATGGAATTAAGTACAAAGTATATAATAGTACAGGTTTAAATTAGCTAGAGTAGAAGTGTTTTGTGAGCAGTGTGCAAAAGGTTAACATCCAGGATCTTTTATCACTCGTCATTTCCTGTTTCCAACCAATGGTTAAAGCAAATTCTAAGTTACGGATAACGACCATTAGTCATTTTTCCATCAGTGAATGTTAACCTGCACTGATTGAAGTATGTTTTTTTTAAAGAATTTAATTAAAATAAGCTGGATAGTGGACAGTAAAAGCCACTTTCACTTCTGAATAATAGTGAGAAACCTTTTCATAATGCTAAGATATTGTCTCTTTTGTGGACGTACTTCAGTTCATCCATCTCTTTTCTCTTCCTCACGTCATCCTTCTCCTTCTTCCTCTCTTCCTGGATCTGAACTTTCTTCTCGTTCCTCTCCTCTCGGTCTCTCGACTCTTTCTCTGCCGCCAGGTCGGGGTATCGTTCATCTTTAGTTCTCTCCAGGCGGTTTACGATCTCATTCACCTTCTTCTCCACCGCCACGAGCTTCACCTGTAAAACAACCGGACATCAAAATACTTCCATGGCCTGAAAGTGGGGGAAAGGGACTGTGATGTAGAAAAGGAAACCTTGTGGTAATGGGCTATATAAATAAAATATACTTGCTCAAAAACAGCTTGATGTCAGTGAAGATGGAGTCTTTTTTTAGTTTTAATATGACTTTGTTCACTGACCTCTTTCTGTCTGAAAAAGCCAATTTGTCCAACGTCCATTTCTCCGGTTTTCTTCAGGTTGGCCCACGGTGTGTAAACCACATTGATGTTGTTCATCTTACATCCTAAGTATACATGGAAACATAATCAGGTGTCACTTCCAAAAACAGTAGATAACAGGCTATTACAGGATAATTTGTGAGGTTGCTGTTAGGCCTGTCGCGATAATCAATAAATTGACTTATCGTACGATAAATAAAAATGGACTCGATAACTTTTCTGAGCTCGATAAATTGCCGTTTACATGCGTGTTTGTTTACATAAGGATGTGACCAGCATTTTAGCCCGGCGTGCTGTGGCTGCCGGCCAGGCCCGCTGTGAGGGGCGGGGCTCACACACAGCCAGGTCAGGACACTCCGCGTGCAGCAGCGTAGCAGCCAAATTAATAATATAGAGACAAGCAGGAGACAACGTGTGACTTACTCGAGGGGAATTTGAAGTTAAATGGATGTGGTTGCAAAACCTAATACCACATCTCCGGTGTGGGAATATTTTGGATTTAAGGCAAGGCAAGGCAAGTTTATTTATATAGACCAATCATCTGAGCCGGCCCGGCTAAAATAACTGGATGGCCTACCTGCCTGTCAGCTTTCCATCTGTGCACAAACTTATCTCGTGCCCTCATTGGTCATGTGCGCGTTCGTGTGTGTTGGAGGAGGGGCTCTGTAAGGAAGTGGCAGATTTTTTCCGGTTGTGTATTTTCAAATTCTAGCGCACTCGAGCTGGTTTCTCCAAAATGACCTACCCCACCTTTAATCCAAGTTTCCGTTAAAAGCATAACATCGAGATTGTGCTCAGTGATAACATCATTGATTAAAAACGTTTTTCCTGCCAATGACCTGACATTTAATAAAGCTAGTTTAAGTTTGTTAAATACACTATCAGTCAGATTTTTTGTGACAAGCTGTGGCTGTGGCAGTCACTGCTAACTTTGATAAACTCACACAAATGTTTGAGCGCTTCCTGTTTCTAAGCTGATTCTCAATCTATTACCTATCAACACAGATATCGGCAAAGCTACAGGCAGGCAGGGCCCCGGCATGTCCTGGAAAGAGTTGAGAGTGCCATACGCCCTTGAGCCTGGACCCAGCACATATCAGTAAGAGTTTGCTGCGTTTTGTACACACACATTCTTATCAGGCTTCGGTGACCGCAGATGGTGTCTTGAAGGGGGGGGGGAGGTGGTTGATATAGGCACGGTGATGAAGACGGGGGAGATGGTGCGCGTCTCTGTGGGCGTCGTTGAGGGGCGGGGGTAAAGGACATGCTGCCAACCCTGCGTATCACCTTAATGCGGTCATTGAACTCCAGGAAGGAATTGGTGCCATCCTGTATCTCCTTCATGTGTTCAGCGATCTCCAGGAGGGTGGGCGAGGGTGAGTAGAGAGAGCTGTGGGGTGAAGGAAGAGTATCCTCAAAGGTGATAAGGGGGGGTGAAGGGCGGTGGAGACTCCTCCATTTGTCTCATAGGTTTCCCATAATCAAGACATTCCTCAGGCGGGTGCAGTGATACATCTTCAAGGTTTTCTGAGCGATGTGTTGTGTCTTTCTCCTGTTATCATTCCTCTTGTTGCTTGTCCTTGGCAGAGGGAACAGATTGATGACGCAGGCAGTTGAATATGTTAGGGATAAACAATTTCACTCCTGACTTGTTCAGGCAAACTCCATCTGCCTTAAAAAGATGTCTGTGGTCCGAGAAAAAGTTAAAATTGTCAATAAAATGGACAGAATGGTCAGTACAGGCAGCTGAAAGCCACGTGTTCAGTGCAAACAATCTGCTGAATCTCTCCACTCCTCTTCTGACTGGCGGTAGAGGGCCACTGATGAACACCTCCGCATTTAGAGAGCTGACAGTTTCCAACAGACATTTAAAGTCTTCTTTCAGCGCTTCTGACTGTTGTTTCACAACATCATTTGTTCCAATGTGCAGTACCACATTCTTCACAGTCGGATGTTCAGCCCCAATATGCAGGATCTTCTCAGCCAAGTCAGAGACCATATCCTTGGGAAAACAGAGTACTTTGGTGTTGTTCTTACTACACAGGCTTTTTACATCTCTTTACAGCAGAGTCACCCACAATCAGAGTTTCAGGCCCAGTCGTTAGCTTTCCCTCTAGCCTTTTACTTTTGGAGTAGCTATTGGTCCTTACCCTGCTGTGTGAAGAGGACAGGTTATCCAGGTCATCAGAAAGAGATCTCCGGTTCTGGGTCAGCGGAGCGTATCTGTTCTGGATTGGCACACTTGGTGGTTTAGGAGGATTGTTTGTAGTTCTCCCTTTAGCAGCTATCCACGGCTGTTTCCTAGTATGAATAGGGGTTGAAGAGGCACTCTTCCTGGGTGATAACAATGCAGGCCAGTCGGTCGCATCACAGATTTCAGAGCGCTGGGCTCTGCCTGTTATTCGTCCTCCCAAATCCCATGGAAATTATTTACTCTTCGGTTTTGCACCCAGAGAGTTCGAGGGAGGAGTACCACTTGTAGATTTATTACCCAGTACACAGCCCTCCTGTTCCTTGGAATCCTTGTAGCTGCTAACTAGCTGTGAGTTAGCATGCCCTTTTCCATACTTTTGCAACACTGGTAAAGTGGTGTCATTCCAACCTAGTCCATTCACTTCCACGTTAAATTCCAACCGCTGCATTTTCATTTCCAACACGGCCATCTTCTGTAGAAGTTTGTGGAAGTCATCTGTACAGAACGGAGGCATTTTGCTGCTAACTAGCTAAATAGCATGCAGTACCAGGCTTTAGCTGTTGCTATGCCACGCTACTGTAAGACTGAGGTCGTCGTAAAAATATTGAAATATGGCTGAAACCCTTCATCTATTTACGAAGAGTAACTGTCCCAGTGATAAGTTAATGACCAGGAGCCGCTGCTCGAAGTTATCAGAAAAGAAAAATAGGAAAATCAGCATAAGCACTGTAAGAAAGCAGGAAGTAGTCGATCTTTAGGGATCAGCTCTGATATTTCTCATGGCTGATACCTGAAGCCAATCATTCTACAAATCAAATTAAATCATTGGGAAGCAGATCTTTACCTTGGATGCTGTTGTTTTTCACCAGCTGTGCACAGTCTATCAGCACCTCGGGGGGAATGTCGTGTATCGTATGACCCTAGAAAAGACAGAGCAATCAGCAGTGCATACATGCGCTAAAGGCATCGGTGTCCATAGACAAAGTATTTGGCGGATAGCTAAACCTGTTGAGAATCACCATGACTAACTTACAATTCAGTATTTCAGGTTAATTGTGTTGAATCTTTACCTGTGGCACTCTCAGATACACATGAGCCGAAGACAGTTTGTCAACATGAAACCTGGAGGTGGAAAAACAAGAATCAACAACACATCGATAACTTGTAATATTCCTATTGATATTTCTGTTAATTGTGCTGTAACATTGTTTATAATGAAATATTAAATTACATTTTTTCAGAACAGTTAAACAAGCACTTAAAAATACACTAAAGTCTCACCAGATGTCTTCAGGCCACCCATACTTTATTAGATCCTCATCTGCAAAAACCATATCAGCAAGTTAGAGGTGATCTGGATCCTTTGTGATCCATTACAATAACTAGCTCAACAAAAACAGGCATAGCATAAGACAAACGTTACTATAAAGTAGTAATAAGGGGACCAAGTGTTTGAAAACTAGTGTGTGGGTGTGTGTGTGTGTGTGTGTGTGTGTGTGTGTGTGTGTGTGTGTGTGTGTGTGTGTGTGTGAGGGAGAGATTTAACGATAGCTTACTTATCATATTTACTTACTCTCATATTTGTCTTTTCCCATGTAGATTGTGTACTGAGGGTTCACCACTGAGAGAGAAATAACACATCGATAGTTACTGCATGAAATGTTGAAATGTTGTTATATATGCTAGCACCAAACTCATAAAAGGCACAGACAAGAGTCACATTAAATGATAATTAAAGCTTTGTAAAGTGTTGGCTAACAGGCTACTAGCTAGCATCGCTGCTAGCTCTGCTGTGGTTTTACTCACCGGCACTTGTGAAGTAAAACACCATCTTAGATAAATTAAAAAACGTGCCACTTAAATATGAATAGTGAGCGTTTATATTTTGAAAGCTAAAACAGCTAATTATGGACACAAGCAATCTGTTTTCCCCGACTGATCGTGGCTGCTGTCACTTTTCGCGTGTAGAAGTTGACCCGGGAAGTTGTTAGTACTAGACAGGAAGTATCCAATTGGTTTTACAAAATAAAAGCGGGACATTCTTTAAATGTGCCAATGTTGCTATTTTTAAGTTAACTATTGAACTTCTATGTCATACAATTAAAAAAAAAAGCTGCCTTTCACAAATTAAACCCAGTTCCTCTCCTTCATCATAAAACCCTACTCCATTTCTAAACAGGTCTCTTTTACTTTGAAGGCAAGAACCGGAAGTTCCTCCACACCTTTACAGTGGTAACTTCACTAACAAGACATAGTGTTTCCGTTTCCGGTTTATCTGGTTGCGGTTTTTTTAAGAGTCTGGCGCGCTGTTCAAAACACAGAGAAGAAACGCGGGGAGAAGAAGCAGCAACGCAAACATTATACCGACATTTATAGCTTTCTCTATTGCGACATAAACGTGTTCGGTAAGGTATTTAATAGGTGTTTTATGTAGCGTGTTCTGTGTTTAATACGTTGTTTGTTTCTCCTCTAAATGACGCATTAACGTAAAGTGACGTAAGCTTGTTACCATCAAACTGTCTAAAGTTTGACGGTATTTATGTATAATCTCTAACTCACAAGGAAACAAACAGGTTAAACTTGGTATACATCGTCGTGTTAGCTTGTTTGTATATACGCAGTCATTTTTGTAGAAGCTAATCATCCCGCCAATTATCCACTCATCTCCACTTTAACTAACATGTAACGCTAAACTAACCTTAATGTGGTGCTTAATGCACATTTATGCACACGATAAAATGCTGTTGTCACGTCATATGCAAATCAGTAATCAAAATCTATTAATAACCTCGGTGTAGTTTACCGGGTTGTCCTACATGCACCACACACTGCTTTCCCCCCTTTATTCAAGATAATATACACAAGTCAGTGTACCATCAGGACAGAGGTACATATACATAGAAATATAAAGAAAATAGGGATTAAAAACGAAAGGTAACATTTAAAGTAAAATATTTATCAATTGCACATTTGATTTTGCATGCTTTCTTAATTTCAAGTGAAAATGTAAAAAGTTGAGTTTAGGGTCAGTTCATTTCTTCTTGTGAATGTGACATTTTCCCACTTGCTCCATGCACAGTGCCACTGAGAAGGTCACGGTGGCAATTTACCGTCAACACACAAAAATAACCCATAGAGCTTTTCTATTTGAACAGTATTTGGCTGCTAGTTTTGTGCATTGTTTACAGCAGCGAAGTGGATAATGCAACAACAGATGGCATCAGTATGAAGCAAGATAGAAGTAGAAACAGACAAACAGGTTATTTACAGTTATCGCACATATTAAATACTTATATTGCATAGTTTGGTATTTTTAATGTGGCATCCTATTAACAGGTCAAGTAATCATTGAAGAGCTGGTATTAATCTTGTATCTAAAGTGAGTCGTGATATCACAAATATGTTACAGGGTAAATATGTTTACCCCGTTTTCTAGTTGTGTTGATAAAATAGAAAGCCGTTACATTTTGATGCTGAAAGTTGTGCTATTTTATTTGACTCTAGATCCGCTAATCTTACACTGTGGGTGTGTAGGTGAGGTTTGTGAAGATAATGACCACGAGGAAGAGGGGGCTCGCCTCTCTGGACTCTGACAGCAGGTGAACACACTGGGTTTAGGCAGTTTGGTATTTGGACCAACACTCTTGTATCATAACAACACTCAGCCCAAGTAACCGTAAACATTTATTAATATACTGGGTGTCCACTTGTGATCTATACATTTGTTTCACATATTTGAATAGTTTTTTGTCATTTTCCTTGTATAACCAACATGCTGCATTGATTTGAATCTAAAGAGAAACCTTGTGAAAGCTGTTGTATATGTGGCCATTGCTGTTTCTCTTCCATGACTGTGGCCGTTTCTCAATGTCGAGTAGAGCTGCTGCAGAGCCACTATTTCAAGTATACTACGTCATCGAGTGGCGCCGAAGGACTGTTTTAATGCCCAGCATTCGGCGCCACTCGATGACGTAGTATACTTGAAATAGTGGCTCTGCAGCAGCTTTACCCGACATTGAGAAACGGCCCCAGACTGATCTTCTTTTCCCTCAACTCCAGTCACCCGGCCAAGACTGCTGTGAGGCCGGATGCGTCCCCGATGAAGAGGATATCCACCAGGAAGACACCTCAGTCTCCGACCAAGAAGAAACCAGTCGGGGGTCTGCCAAAGGCCGACTGTCCCTCTCCACAGAAATCCCCACGAAAAGCAGCAGGTAAGGGGGAAAGCATTGTTTAGTTAGTGTTTCCTGAGAGCAGATGGGTCTGTTTGAAGTCTTAAACAAGGCGTTATAATAGTAGAATTAGTACCAGGGCTGCAACTTGTAAGGAAATGTGTGTTTGGTAGATGATGTCTGTGTTGTAACAATGCTTTTTGGCAATAAATCTTATACCGTTGGAAAGCCTGTTTTCTTACCTTTCCTAATGGTGCCACATTTGTGAGGAACATGCATTTGTGGGATGAGCAGCAGAGCTGAGTATGTGGGTTGCACCAATGAAAAATGTGACAAATCTCCTCTGCCAAACAGCAGCCAATCTCCGGTCTCGTTCGGCTGCCAGGAGATTTGTCAAATTTTTCAATTTCCTTACATTTTGTGTTAAGTTTATATCTATATTTTCTATATTACTCGATGAATTGACTTTCTCTAAGACATTCTATAAAATAGAGGCAAGCAGGAGATCTGAATGTATCCTCTTCACATATCTATCATCTTTTCTAGGATCTCCTGCCAAATCACCTCGTGAATCTCCATTCACGCCTTCCATGATTACAAGCTCCTTCTATGGCCAGAAGAAGCCCCTCTATCTCACTCCACTGGAGAGGAAGGCGATAAAAGACTTGATGCCTTCGCTTCCTCGTCCTCTTCCTTCCCCTCCTTCCCAGGAGAAAAAGCAACCGCCGAAGAAGAAGAGAATTGTTAAAGGAGGCAGCAAGCAGAAAAAAGTGGTGTTAGGATCTAGTAATGCTGTGAAGGCGTTTACCAAAAGCTACATGACGTCTCCAAGGAAGATCAAACTTCCCACACTCGGCAGCAGGTTTGTTTCCATACAAGTCAAAGTCCAGTAACGCCTGCTTTGTGGACCTTCTGCCGCTTTCTGACACCGCAGTTAGTTGTAGGGATGGGTATCGTTAAGGTTTTGACAGTACTACTACTTTTATGGATACCGCTTATCGATCCGGTCTTTTAACGGTACTCTTAACGGTTCTTTTGGAGAGAAAAAATAAGTTAAACAAATTGTGAACAAAATGAACATTGCTTATTATTTAAATTAAATAAATAATATTTCACATCAAAAGAAACAACAATGTTTTAACAAATCATATTAAATAATATGATGACAGAATTGTAAACAGAATAGCTGAAACTTTAACAAACTAAATACCTCAGTTACCTCTAATCATTAACCCATGTTTGTATAATTGAGTTAACTCCGTGTGTTGCTGCTAGCATACATAACACCTGACGTGGAAACGTTACTCGTGGATGGGGCTACAGAGCTACTAGAAAGACAGTTCTCCGTCTGAATGTGGAGCACTTTTGCTAAATGTTTAGACAAATTGCTCGTGTTACTGCCCTTACATGCTAAACTCTTATTGCACTTTTGGTAACGAGCATTGTCCACATCGAGACGGGTAAAGTTTAACCACACCTCGGAGCGCTTTCTCTCCGCCATCTCCTCCGTGTGTGTGTGTGTGTGTGTGTGTGTGTGGCTGTGGCTGCATGTAGCAGCTGCGTGTGTGTAAACTGCCCCGCCCCCTCGCACACAGGCGGGGGAGTTGGCGACATTAAAACTGCAATATAATGTTTGTGTAGCAATAATACATATGACATCTATTTTTTTAAATGTCTCCAGTACCGATAACAAGACCGATGACGTCGGAGCTTAACGGTACCACGGTCTTTAATAATTCAGCCCCGGGGCTCGGTACCCATCCCTAGTTAGTTGGACATCACAAATGTAGTTTTCGTCATAATTTCCCTTTTTAATCTGTGTCTGCATCATTTCTTTGAATAGGTTCTCTGCTAACCCGGCCTCCACTACAACCAGCGCTCCCGTCAGCTTCCCTAAGCCAATAGAATTGAAGAAAGTGTTCACCATCACTTTCAGCAGCCTGAAGCCCAAACCCAAGATCTTTGTTGGAGCTGCTTTCTTCGGTACAGGGAAGAAACCCAAGTCCATGTACAAGAAATCTGCACCGAGGTCCAAGCCAGCTTCAGTCCCGGTGAAAAGCAAAGCTGTCCCGCTGCAGACAAAGACGGAGAAACCAAAGCCAGCTGCTCCGGTGATGAAGCAACAGAAACATCCTGAGGAGGTGAGAGCAGACCTTAGATCTGTTCACAGCTTGCATCTTTGTTTATTATGACAATAAGCAGTATTGTATTCCACTGTTCCTACATAATTACATCTAGTTTTTATGTAATCTTTTTCCATTTCACATGTGTGTGTATATAGTTTACTTATTTCTGTATTAATTGCACATTAGTCACTTAGTTTAGTTTTGTATTTGTTTATCAGTGATGCAAATGAGTCGCTTTTCGGCGCCTCCCGCTTTTTTAACGCTGATTTGGGTGACTTGTGTAATTCGTGGAGAACCGAAGAGTTTTCGTTGTGTGGGGGGGGGGGGAGTCAGTCCGTCCGTCAGTCCGACTGATGGACAACTTCTCACTTCAAAAAAGAAATCTAGACCGCAAAATAATTAAACAAGCGAGTGCCTGTTTTTCCTGGCCAAGGACAGGTTCCTTGAACACAACACAAGCGTAACGTGTCTTCACGTGGTATATGTCTCGTCTGAAAGGAGTGTAGACTAGAGTGCTGACGGAGAGCACCGGAACGCCGCTCCACCTCTTCAAATATTGCAGTACCATAGTGTCATGGACAGTCCCCATTGATCAACTGTCACACAAAGCCGTAAATGGGGCAGCTTTAGCCAACATTGCTAATTTCCAGCTGTTGTCCCTGGCCAGATGATAATGGACATCCTTAAAATCACAATATATCAACAGCATTACTTGCAACATTCTCCTGCATTACCTTTTATAGTCTTATATATATATGTATTTCCCATTGCTGGAGGAGCCTCAGACTTTGTAGTGACACAACTATAATGTTACTATTGTGCATGATTACAAAATAAAGCCCTTGAGTCCTCAGTGGGACCTACTGTTGAAGTTGAGGAATCATTATTGAGCCCGAGAGAGGGCTGCTTAAATTTGATTCAAGCAGATTTGTGCCAAAATTAACTAGGGACCTGAGGCATGTACTAGTTAAGACACAAACATTTGTACATCAGTTTTTACAATGGTATTTCTACTAGGGCTGTGCAATTAATCGTATTTTAATCGCAATTACGATTTTGGCCTGCCACAATTACGAAAACAACATAATCGAAAAAAACGATTATTTTGCTTTGCTAGGTTGGGACAGTGCAACATATTTGATCTAATTTATTTTAGTCTAATTTATTTTTATTTATCATATTTATATATGTTTAGTAGCTTGTGGAAGTGCGCTCCAAAATATTTGTTGATCTTGTTTATTGGTATTTATTATTTTGATATTATTTATATAAATGTATCATTTATTTTTGTATTGGTTTTTCAGTTGAATTATACGCTCAGGGTAATCAACAGTTAAAAAAATACTGTTCAAATTATTATTTGTATTTGTTTTAAAGTTCAATAAATGGATGTTTTTTTAAAGTCAATGAATAATCGTATTTAATAATCGTGATATCAATTATTGACCAAAAATAATCGTGATTATGATTTTTGCCATAATCGCACAGCCCTAATTTCTACACATCTTCAGGAGCATATATTGTCTCCAGCTGCTGTCAACTTATCGGGTTTGTTTCCTGCAGACGGCCGTCCCTCCGGTCACGACAGAAGACATCGAGCCGAGCGCCAAACAGCCAAAGTTTGACCCGTTAGACTGGATGGACTTATCTGAAGAGCCTGAAACTCCAGAGCCATTCGGGTACTTTAGTAGTGACACTAACATCACACCATTTGGCACAAAATATTTCCGAATGTTTGGGTATCTTGTGACCAAATGTGTAACTAGACTACGGAGTGAGTAGAAAATCATTGTTCTAGGTCTTCAACACCCTTCATCTTCCTCCTGCAGCTCTCCTAAAATGCTCTTTGAGGTGTATGGGATCACCAAGGCGCTGTCGATCGTGTTGTCAAGGACTCCAACAGCAAGTCCCGCCTCCACAGCCTCATCCCTCAGTGTTCAGGTACAGGAGAAACAAACACTGTCAACAACTTTGTAAATTAAATGTTGATTTGTCAATTTATTGTGTTGCACTCTCCTTCCAGGATGGAGGCTCGAAGCCCATTTTAGACCTGCGTGATATAAGTCCTGCTGCTAGCCCACCCAAAGGTACACACACACGCATACACACAAACTCACACACACACACTCACACACACACACGCATACACACACACACACTCACTCACGCATACACACTCACTCACGCATACACACACACACACACACACTCACGCATACACACACACACTCACTCACGCATACACACACACACACATGCACTCACTCACACACACACACTCACACGCATAAACACATACACTCACACGCACACACACACACACACAAACTCACACATACACACTCACACACGCATACACACACACGCATACACACACTCACTCACGCATACACACACGCACGCACGCATACACACACATACACACTCACACGCATAAACACATACACTCACACGCACACACACACACACAAACTCACACACACACATACACACTCAAACACGCATACACACACACGCATACACACACGCATACACACCCACACACACATACACACAAACTCACACACACACACACATACACACTCACACACGCATACACACACGCATACACACACACGCATACACTCACACACACTCACTCACGCATACACACTCACGCATACACGCACACGCACGCATACACACACCCACTCACATACACTCATACACTCACACGCATACACACACGCACACACACACACACACACACAAAGTTGTTAGAAGTTCTAGTACCACAGTTCGATATATGTTGCTTTATTTAAAATATATAATTGTATTTTCTCCACAGATGCTGCAGGGGTGTATCCCATCTTCGGCTCTTCCTCCAAAAGGTGAGACGGTCTGTTTGGTCATCAGTCGTGCACAAAGAGAGATTTATTTTATTAGAAAACAGGGAAATTGCCACAGCAAATAACAAAGTTAAGCTTTGATGTTCTGGGACATGTTCTTCCCACATGTTATAGATGTATCAGCCTTTTGATTTAAAAAAAATTCATCTCTCACTTCGAATGTCAAACCCCTTAATTGCCATGCATGTTGCATTAACCCACTACAATTCCAGTATATCTTCTTTTATTGGTTGTCGTGCAGGTTAAGAAATGCAGCCCTGCAGCCCCCGGTGTCCTGCAGCACCCCCTCCGCCCCGACAGCATTACTGAGTACTCCTGCAGTCAAAGAGCGACCTGTTCGCAGGAGGAAGGAGAAACAGGACGACGACCAGCTCATCATCGTACGTTTATGTTTACATCTTTGAGTGGAGGGGCAATTTTTAAATAGATCTGGCAGCTAGAGCTTGCACTAAATATCATCATCCGGAACAGAAACAAAGTACCATTCTTTCCATCCTTACTTGTATATTATGATTTTACAGACGTTAAAATCTTTTGTAAAAACTTATTGTGGCAAGGTTATAGCAACTGTCAGAAAAACATGCCCCAATGACTGTCATCAAATACTCTCCTTAATCAGTGGACCCAGAGTATATGTTAGAAGACTGATGGATTGAAGCCAGTATATTTGTCTTGGCTATTATTAAACATCTTAAGAGGATTTTAATGCAAACTACACTATATTAAACAATCAGGTTAAAAGAAGGGGAGGACAAATGAGTAACTCACTTAAAGGGGACCTATCATGCAAAATGCACTTTTTGATGTCTTTTATACATAAACATGTGTCCCCGGTGTGTCAGGGAACTCACGCAGCGTCAGAAAATAAAACCCTCTCTCTTTTCCTCCGTACCCAAATCTCTAAAAACGGGGCTACAACGGAGCTGATCCAGATTTGCGTCCGATATGACGTAATATCGGAAATGTGGACCCACGGCCCTATCAGAAACGTTGCTATCAGAAACAATGCCCGACTGTTTTGGACGTAATATGGTCGGTGTTCACATTAGCATCGCTAACACTCAGAGCTAACCTGTACTGGAGAGCATGTGTGTGAAGAAGCAGGAAATAAAAAGGAACTCACCTTGTGGTATAACCGGCAAGAGAGAAAGCCTTTGAGCTCCATACTGTTTCAGAAACAATCCTTGATAATCCATGATATGGCGTTTCATCACGGCAGTATTTAGTTTAGACAGTAGCTGCCGGGTCCCGCATGAGCTCAGACCCCTCCTTTTATTTGTATCAATTTTTTTTAAAGCTTTATACCCCAAATCAGCACTTTTGAAACAGGAAGTGAAATAGAGGGATATGAGGCATGGCTAGAATGGGTGATCTGTTTGGTATGTTGAGCAAAACACTTCATAGACATGTTTTTTATATATTTGTATATATCTGAGACCTATGCTATTGCCTAAAAATAGCATGATAGGTCCACTTTAAGTGTATTTTTCTTTTTGTGTGTTCACTCGATGTTTCTCTCCATTTCCCCGCTCAGGACGCAGGTCAAAAGCAGTTCGGAGCGACGACCTGCAGCTCCTGTGGGATGGTGTACAGCTTGGACAACCCGGAGGACAACTTCCAACACAACCAGTTCCACCAGCGCTTCCTCGAATCCATCAAATTTGTGGTAAAAATGTCCATTAATCTCCGACTGAACTTTGACACCTAGCTATGCGCTGATGGCACATTGTCTTTTTTACAATTCTTTATTTAGAAGACAGTTGAGAACATTTCACCAGTTACAATGAAATATACTTGCAGTTACAGGGAGTAGTAAACATTGAAACCGTCCCCTTCTCATTGTCCTCTTTGTTTTCCGATGTGCATCTTATACAATGTTCATGAACTTTATACAATAACAAAAGGGATGTTTCGTAACAGGCATAATTGACATAGTGAGGGACAATCAAGTGGTTCTGTTCAACGCAATAGACCTGTAGTACTCCTAATTACTGCACTATGATAGGGACTAGGGCTGCACGATTTGGGGAAATAATCTAATTGCGATTTTTCGGACAGATATTACGATTTGATTTGCGATATTTGTTTTTAAGCGACCCAACAGAAGTTTATTGTAAAATGCGGCCATATCTCCGGCTAGGAAGGTCGTATCAACGTGCTCCCGTCTCTAGCACCCCCGCAGCCCGAGCTACGAGTGAAAGAACTAAACTTACATGAAACTTCCGTTGGGTTGCTTTTAAAGTCAAGCTTCAGTTTAAGATTCACCCTGTAATAGATGTAGAACATGTGATGGAGCATTACTAACCTGACTCAGATGGTTTGTTTCACCAAACCTTCTAGGAAAGCTCCATTTGGAAAAGTATTTCAAAAATACTTGGCAGGTGATTGGATCAATCTGTCTATCACCTACTATCATGGGCCACTTCTGATTGGTTAACAATGGCTGGTGCATGTGGAGCACAGCAATTCTGATTGGTGTGGATGACTGACACACAAGAAGAACAGGCTTTGCGATTTGATAATTGCATAATTTAAAATTTCTATTTAAAATCGATTAATCGTTCAGCCCTAATAGGGACTACTTTCTTATCTTACTTTAACTTTTTACTGTCCCTTCAGTCTTTTGTTGCCACTGTAATAGTTTATGTAGCTTGTTTTTATGTTAAGTAGTTAGTTATTTTACACACTTCCTCTGCCAAGACTGCTGGCATGACTTTGTTTCACGTGAATAAACTACAGCTTCTTCTCTCTGTTGTGTTTCAGGGCTGGAAGAAGGAGCGTATCGTTGCAGAGTTCTGGGATGGAAAAATCATCCTTGTTATGCCAGGTGATCCCAAATACGCCATCAAAAAGGTGTGAGATGTAACTTGTTTCTCCATTTTCAGTTTGTAAACTCACAGTTCAGCTTGCTAGAAATCAAATCAGTCAAACATCTGACTGCTGTGAAATGGCACACTTGAAGCTGGTGAGAATGTTTTTACCTTGTTTTTTGTACAGACTTGTTTTTCCACACGTTCTTCCTCACCATGTGTGTTTGTTTTCAGGCTGATGACGTTCGACATGTAGCGGATAGCGAGTTGGGTTTCCAGCAGCTGACTCTGAGCAGACCGGCGCAGGCGAAGACGTACCTGTTCATCAACTCTGAGCGCATGGTGGTGGGCTGCCTCGTCGCCGAGCCCATCAGACAGGTAGGGCTGCAGGAGTGTGTGTGTGTGTGTGTGTGTGTGTGTGTGTGTTAATGTTAGCATGTGTGTGTGTGAAGAGGGCCGAAAGACAAACAAACATATCTCAGTAAAAGCCTTGATTTGCAGCCATCCTATTTGCAAATAATGCAGAGTTAAGTATAACAAGTTTGGAACAGCGTATTGTATATATTGATAGTTGTGGTTTTATGTATGTATTAATGTGTCTATGTGTGTATATATATATATATTTGGGATTGTGGGAAACGGTAGTTTGATCTCTGTCTGTATCCATGGTCTGTACACACAAACTGAAAGATTGGCAATAAAATTGACTTTGATCTACATGCATACAAATAAAAATAATACAGGCATGTTATAAATCAGAATAACCTATTGCATTTCTGACCTTTTACATCCTTTTTATACTTTCACTGAGAACAACTCCAATTCCCTTTTGGTTTGTGACTTTTCAACTCTTTGCAGTTAATTGTTCGGAGCCTAATCGCTCCTTGGTGTGTCTCCTCAGGCGTACAGAGTGCTGGAGCAGCCGGAGCATCCCAAAGACATGACGAAGGACGACTTCATGGAGCGACACCGCGCCTGGTGCTGCTCCACCATCCCCGAGCAGGCTCTCTGTGGGATCAGCCGCATCTGGGTCTTCAGCCTGGCCCGACGACAGGGCATCGCCACACGCATGCTGGACACCGTCAGGTACAACACAAGTCTTAAAGGTCACCTATTATGCAAAATCCTCTTCTTCATGTCTCTTCTACATCAACATGTGTCCCCTCTTCTTCATGTCTCTTCTTCATCAACATGTGTCCCCTCTGTGTAAAGAGACTGAAAGTTTCAGGAAAAAAGATTCTCTCTCTTTTTGTCCTGATCCATTTATATAAAAACCTGTCTGAAAATGAGCTGATCAGATTTTGGCCACTTTATGATGTCATAACGATGTTTTGGCTTGTGTAACCATTAGCCAATCAGCAACCAAGGTAACCCCCCCCCCCCCCCTCACCTTATCACCTGAATCTCCTCCTAGAGCACCATTGTGTTCTTTGTAACCAAATATCTCTCAGAGGGGCGTGGGGAGGGGCTCCTTATTTTCATCTAAAGTAACAGACAGAGAATCAGCACTTTTGAAACAGGGCTGAAACAGAGGGGATTATGGGATGCTGCAATGATCTGTTTGGTGTTTGGAGCCAAACAGATACATGTTCTGTATATATCTGAGACCTATAATATATTGATGAAAAACAGTATAATAGGGGACCTTTAATGTCTTCTTGTTTCTTTTGCACACATTCTCAGGGTAACGATTTAAACCTGTAATGTTAAGAAATAACCTATTGTTTATAAATGTGTCTTTGTAGCCATTTCAAAAACCTTTAGTTCAGTTCACAAGTAAAAGTGAGTTGTTCAAAACGTCAGGAGTTGACCACATGCTCTCTAATATTTCTCCTTCCTCTCGTCTTTTTTAAATTAATGAAAAAAATATAGATACTAGGGCTGTCAAGTTAACGCCACTAATTATTTTAACGTGCGATTAACGCATGTGTATTTGTCCTCGGCCCGCCTCGTAGTTTCAGAGCCCAAAGGCTTGACGTTGTTGTTGTTGTTGTTAGTTGGATGATGGGAGATTCTAGCGAGAGATATGGATACAAAAAAAGGTGTTTTTAAAGCCAAGCACACAGCTGATGCCGACAGCCCCGCTCCTGCCGCTCGCTTGCGGCAGACCACGCTTGAAGGTTTGCCGGGGAGACGCCTGGACAACAACAGCGATAGCTAAATGGGTGGCTACAGCTTAACATTGTGGAGGGCGAGGGGCTGCGTTAGATCATTTGCATCGCATCCAACGTGTCGACTGCACATCACACCGCATTATTTTGACCCACAGTGGGAACGTCTCATGCTTTGACTCAGGGGTGTCGAACTCAAATACACAGTGGGCCAACATTAAACAAACGGTACTAGTCGAGGGCCAGACTGGTTCAATGTTTATTGCAGAACTTATTGAAATGAACTTATTGTACATATTAAACCTGGAACTAACAAAGCTTACTTATACAAAGTTTCATTAATTTCTTATGGCTCTATCTGAAGCTTTTCCAGAGTCATTTCTTATGATTACATTTTTCCTCAGGCCAACAACAGCTTCAAAAAAAACTATTTCCCTCAAAGAGAAAACCAAACATGCCCTGTTGTCGTGAGAGAAAAAGTGCAGAAGGAAACATCCATGTAAACTCAGTGTGCTGCTCTGTGATGCTAGTTCAAGCCAGATACTTGGCATCTCATCTTGGGTGCAAGTTCATCAATGTTTGGGGTCAGGCTCTGAGCGGAGGAGACCCTCAGGATTGAGTGAAGGTGTGCGTGCAATATACCGGCGGGCCAGATCTAATAGTAATTACAAATTATCCTGCGGGCCGAAATTAAATCCACCAAGGGCCTGATTTGGCCCCCGGGCCTTCAGTTTGAGATGTGTGACTGAAGATGAAGACAGGAGCGGCATTTCGCCGACAACTGTAAACAGGCTTGTCTGTTTGAGCAACTGGCTCAGTGCAGAGAAGTACACAGGGTTGGGAGAGAGTGTAAGAGAGAGAGAGAGGTTCCAGGTTGTTGTGTTGAAAATATTCAAGAGAATATTTGTCATTGTTCAGAGGTTGTTGTGTTGAGAATATTCAGGAGTATAATAAACAAACATTTGCATAAAGCATATTTGTCCACTCATATGTTGATAAGAGTATTAAAAACTTGAAAAATATTCCTCTAAGGTACATTTAGAACAGATAAAAAATGTGCGATTAACTATGGACATCATGCGATTTAAATATTTAAATCGACTGACAGCCCTAATAGATATATTTAATTGATAACTGCTCGTTTCATTTGTGTAGCTCTGGTTATGATACAATTGTTGTTTTGAGGGTCAAAAAGAAATGTCATTAATAAACCATCCTTACACAGATAATGCTGAATTTCGACATATGGACAACCTGGCACTACTTAAAAAAACATGGTTTTACTGAGTGTTCTTCCCTTTTCCTTGTTTTCTTAAAGGAGCACCTTCGTGTACGGCAGCCACCTCACGAAGCAGGAGATCGCCTTCTCCGACCCGACGCCTGACGGCAAACAGTTTGCTACAAAGTTCTCCAACACACCGACCTTCCTCGTTTACAACTTCATCGCATGAAGTAAAAAGCTTGAGGATGCATTACTGTTTGAACTCTCACGTTTCATTATAAGTATTGCTTATCAACACACCTTCCGGCAATCGTTAAATTGTCTTTCATATGCAAAGCAATACTTGTTCAGGTTCTTATGTGGCCTAGGCGTTAGATTGTATTGAAGAGTGTTTAAGCTTCAGATCTTTAGTTACGATACGTTCTGTGTTCAGGATTAAAGCAAAAACTTCACTCACAAAATCTCCATCTGTAGTCACCCTACACCTGAAAGGTCTATTCTGGCAAACCTGGACATTGAATAAAGTAAATCAGGGCTGTGATTTAATAGAAAAACGATGCAGTTTAATCAACCTAACGTTACTATTTAAAATGCTCTTTTAGACACGAAACTATGTCAATTTAAATCTGATAAAGTTTTGCTGCTAGACAGATGACATGTAATACATTCATCAAGACCTTTCTGGGTTATTTTAGAGCATTTTGTCACTGTGGAGGCATGTGAGATGAACAGTGTGCTTGAAATATTCAGGGAGGTTTTAATAATTCAAAGGACATTTAGTGGGTGAAGTATGTTGAGTTTTCAGAGGTTAATGATGCGCCTGTTATCGCTCAGTATTTATATTCCGTTCTGCTGTTGAATGTTGTGTATATTGGCAGTGTTTTGTATTCAGATGTTTATATTTTGCTTAATGAGCAGCTTGAAATGGGCAGGGACTGAACATATTTTCCATTTTTGTATCAAAGAAACCGAGAGGCCTCCTTTTGATACGTTTTTTCTTTTTTATGGTACTTCCAGTTGGACGTTTTTCTGAATATTTTTGGAAGGAAAATATGTTAATAGACCTGTTTGAGATGTGGAGGCCATTCTACTTTGTAAATACATTAATAAACATATTGCCTAAAATTGTTTCTTGAACGTGTTTTTATACACTAACCAGGGTGTCTTAAAAAGTATTAAAAGTTGATCAATTTAGCCAAAATTAAGGCTATTAAAAAGTATTAAACGGCATTTTCCAAGGTATTACATTTTGTAGCTTGTTTTATATACAGGGTTCGTACGGGTGCTGGAAATCCTTGAAAATGCTTGAAATTTCATGTTTTTCAAGGTTTGAAAAGTGCTTGGATTTTGGTTAAAGTGCTTGAAATTGCACTTGTTTTACTTTTATAATAAATTGCTGTCTGACTGAATAGTTAGCTTTTTTCGATAAAAAAAAAGAGAAGTCGGAGCGAGCTTAATTACTTTTCATAAAAAGACAGCTCCACTCGTTTTATACATATTTTGATATTTGAATCCTTTTTTTCAGTTGCAGATTTTCCGTTTTCAGATTCCAAACAATTATATATCAGTTTCAAATCTTGTGTTTTCGGGTTTCACCGTTTTTTTCGCTTTCAAACTTTTGGCCCTGATGTTGCCTGGGGGGGGCGGGGCTTACCAAAGAGTAGTTTTGATTCCTGAGTGACAGCCCTCCCTCTGTCATGTTGCCTTCATGGATGTAAGGTAGCGCGAGAAATATAACTCAACACTTTCTTTACACAATACTCCCGTGATTGGTGGGAAACCAAACTGATACCAGCGTCAAAGTTCTGTTAAGCGAGCTGTTGAGCATCGTATAGTTCAGAATCAGATCAGAATCAGAAAACCTTTATTAGTCCCACAGAGGGGACATGTACGTTGTTACAGCAGAAAAAGAGCCACTGACAGCTTAATGTTACATATATTACATGCAAAAAAAAGTATTTAAAGTAAATAAAAAGTTATACAATTGACAAAATACACATCCTGTGTTCTGAGGATTTAGCAGCCAGGTATATATTGCAGTTTTTAACGGCATATATATATATATATACAGGGTTGGGTGAAGTGTTTTGCCCAAAATACCAAAAATACCTCATCTGCACTTTTCCCCATAAAAATGAATTGTAATCAATACTTTTAGATGTAAATTGTTTATTGTATCATTACTATAGGTCTCTGAAACAATCAGACTGTTACCACACTGTTATCAGACTTTTAGCACTCTTTCCCCCGCAGAAACGACTTTAAACCATCAGTGTCACTATTGTGGGGATGTAGGAATGTACCTGTCTCTGGTGCGGAGCCTCCCTGCACTTTTAATCAATTGATTTGCCTTTTTTTAATCGTATTTTCTGCTGTTAATGCACTGTGCTCATGTCGGGTGATGCGCTCCCTGGAGCCCTCCTGTGGGGAAACTTGGAACTGCACTTAAATCACTTTGTGCTTTTTAAGCCATTTAAAATACTTTTTCTCACTTTTAAAATACTTTCTGCCCTAGAAATGATTTTTAATTACCATTATTTAGGGGCTACATGAACACAAATTTGAGCATCCCTGCACACTTTCCTCCTATTTAAAACACTTTTCAGTGAGGTGCTGCAGCCTGATTCTCTCCTTTTTCTCTGCCCCTATTTAAAACACTTTTCCTCCTATTTAAAACATTTGCTAGAGGTGAAATCTTTATTTCAGCCCTGATGTTGGCACATCTTGTAAATTAGTTAAATTTAGCCTTGTGTTTTTATTTAAAGGTGGGGTAGGTAAGTTTGAGAAACCGGCTCGAGATCGCTAGAATTTGAAAATACACAACCGGAGAAAATCTGCCACTTCCTTACAGAGCCCCTCCTCCAACACACACGAACGCACACATGACCAATGAGGGCACGAGATAAGTTTGTGCACAGATGGAAGGCTGACAGGCAGGTAGGCCATCCAGTTATTTTAGCTGGGCCGGCTAAAATGATTGGTCGTACTTTTTACAGTATTACGGCTTCCACAGATGACATTTTTTTATGGATTTTTTGTCAAAGCATTTAAGATATTCATTGCTATCGGGATGTTAAGAGTATTCCATGGAATATAACAAAAAGTGTATCTCCAGCCAGTTTCTCAAACTTACCTACCCCACCTTTAAGTCGCTGTTCATTGTTTGTTATATAAAGCAGATTGAATTATATCCTATGGACGCTGATGTGTGGATGTTGTGTCCTTTTGATAACTTTGTGGAGCTTGTTTTTAGCTGCATGTCTTTTTCTATCTCACTGAACATGGCCCTGTATGTGATTGAACTGGTTCAGCTGGTGAGGCTGGTTATGAATCAGAAGGAGGAGCTGCAGACAGGTGAGGGAAGGGGAAAGTAGGATGGCAGACTGCCAGACGCCATTTTACAGCTCGTCAGGAGAACAACAGGGTGAGTGTTAACACCAGGATCTGCTTTTTAACACATTCATTATTTACTCTGTCAAACTGGATGTCAGAAAATAACTTATTGGTTAACAATCTGCGTCCTAGAGTCCAATGAGACTTCTGCAAGTGTTGTACACTTTTATTTCCTGTTTTCTGATTCATAAGAGTTACATAACATGTGACAGCCCAGCGCAGTCTAAATGTAGTGTGTGTGTGTGTGTGTGTGTGTGTGTGTGTGTGTGTGTGTGTGTGTGTGTGTGTGTGTGTGTGTGTGTGTGTGTGTGTGTGTGTGTGTGTGTGTGTGTGTGTGTGTGTGTGTGTGTGTGTGTGTGTGTGTGTGTGTGTGTGTGTGTGTGTGTGTGTGTGTGTGTGTGTGTGTGTGTGTGTGTGTGTGTGTGTGTGTGTGTGTGTGTGTGTGTGTGTGTGTGTGTGTGTGTGTGTGTGTGTGTGTGTGTGTTGTTACTGGTTTATCTCTCAGACTGGGGAAGATGAGTGATGTAAAAGAAGAGGAAGAGGACACATCTTCAGTCTCCAGCGGTCTGTCTCTGAAGAGTGCCTGGTCTATGGGGGACCCTCCACTCTTCAGTAATGAACCTGGACCCTCAGACACAAAGTAAGAGTTTCCACTGTAAACTGACCTGAAACCCAGTAGAGAACATTAACAAAGTTGAATTGATCTCTTGCTTCTTGTCATCATCAGAGATAGTAAATAATCTACTAGTGAAATCATCCTCACACTCTACATGTTGGACTTTGTGTTAAATTAAGCAAATAAAATGCAAATATGTAAAACGTTTCACACTCGAATGAATTTGAACAACAGAAACCCACAATCACGACTCAACAACTCTAAAAATCTTTAATAAGGTGAACAGTCATAGATCAAAAGCTGCTCTTTAAAGGGGACCTATCATGCAAAATGCACTTTTGTACGTCTTTTATACATGAATATGTGTCCCCGGTGTTCCAGGGAACTCACCAAGTGTCCGAAAACACAACCCTCTCTATTTTCCTTCATACCCAAATCTCTAAAAAAGGGGCTGCAACGGATCTGATAAAAACTGATCCAGATTTGAACACTGTCCTGACGTCAGGACGGTGGCGCTACGGCTATTGGGCCAACTCCACCAATCAGGAGGAGACAGCCACGGTCATTGCCTTTCGAAAGCGCTGGAGACGCTGTAGTACATATGCCAGGCCTGTAGGTGGTGCTGTTCTCACAGAATCAACCCTTGCAAAAACAGAGCTAAAAGATTTCAAATTGAGCGAAATGAGGCATGGCTAAAATGCATGATCTGTTTGGTATTTTGAAAAAAAAAAAGTATAAATATGCCTTATATAGGTATGGTCCTACACTATATTATTCAAATATAGCATGATAGGTCCACTTTAAATGAACTAATGATGTTTAAACATGTGTTGTTTCCACAGACAGAGAGCAGGGTCTACGGTCTCCATGTGTTCTCTGAAGAGTGACTGGTCTAAAGATCATCCTCCAGACTTCAGCAATGAACCTGGACCCTCAGACACAAAGTAAGAGTCTCTCCTGTAAACTGACCTGAAGAGGATCCAGTTTTGATGTAATCTAATATATCAAACTGTTCTTTAATGATATCATGTGAGCAGTTTTTAAAGGGAAAACGCAGCAGAGTAAGCTAACATTATCTAAGGATATTTCAATATGCAATTATATTATCATTGTATCTGTGTATAAAATGGTTTTAAATAGCAACAATATTGATAAATACTGATTTAAAAACGATATATATTGTCCAAAACATTATTTAACTTGGGCATATCTATGATATGTCTTTTTAAGATGTTTATTATAGGGCTGTCAGTCGATTAAAATAGTTAATCGTGATTAATCGCAAACTAATCGCACATTTTTTATCTGTTCTAAATGTACCTTAGAGGGATATTTTTCAAGTTTTTAATACTCTTATCAACATATGAGTGGACAAATATGCTTTATATGTTTGTTTATTATCATTTGAACAATGACAAATATTCTCATGAATATTAAACACAACAACCTCTGAACATTACAAATAGTCCTGGAACCTCTCTCATACAATAGTGTGTGTGTGTGTGTGTGTGTGTGTGTGTGTGTGTGTGTGTGTGTGTGTGTGTGTGTGTGTGTGTGTGTGTGTGTGTGTGTGTGTGTGTGTGTGTGTGTGTGTGTGTGTGTGTGTGTGTGTGTGTGTGTGTGTGTGTGTGTGTGTGTGTGTGTGTGTGTGTGTGTGTGTGTGTGTGTGTGTGTGTGTGTGTGTGTGTGTGTGTGTGTGTGTGTGTGTGTGTGTGTGTGTGTGTGTGTGTGTGTGTGTGTGTGTGTGTGGGTGGGTGGGTGGGTTACTGGTTTATCTCTCAGACTGGAGAAGATGAGTGATGTAAAAGAAGAGGACACATCTTCAGTCTCCAGCGGTCTGTCTCTGAAGAGTGACCGGTCTATGGATCTTCCTCTAGTCTTCAGTAATGAACCTGGACCCTCAGACACAAAGTAAGAGTCTCCACTGTAAACTGACCTGAAGAGGATCCAGTTTGTTGGTATCTGATCATCTAAACTGTTTAATGAGAACATTAACAAAGTTGAATTGATCTCTTGCTTCTTGTCATCATCAGAGATAGTAAATAATCTACTAGTGAAATCATCCTCACACTCTACATGTTGGACTTTGTGTTAAATTAAGCAAAATAAAATGCAAATA